AATGAAGTGATATTTTAAATTAATTTAAATTCAAATTTTATTCAATAAAAACGGATCAACCTTATAGAAGCCCTCCACCACCCCCGCCGATTCCGATCGGCGGTCTTCTTTTCTTTGACCTGAAACACAATAGTACAATAAGCCTCTTATAAAAATTGTCCAATCATAGTCAAATATTCTTCTCGTAATCGATTATGATTAATAAATTTCTCAAGGCTTATTGTATCTATTGTGTTTCAGGATTTATACGTCATACTGTAAAATAAAATTTTAAAAATTAGAGATAACTGAGACAAATTTTAACAATGCTCAAAGAACGCGCAAAATATATCAAAATTTAAACATAAAAAAAATCTTAAAAACATCCTGATTTTGGATATGCGCGCTTTCTTAGACATTTTTCAAAATTTGAGTAAATGATATCTCGACTAGATTAAAATTATCCCATCTTACAGTACATTTTTTCATATTTTTGTTATTTATATTATATATTCTATATACAATTTCTTTTATATTATATATAACATAATACAAAAGATTATAAAATTAAAAATATAGCATAATATGCAATAAGAATACATATAAAATTTCTTTGTGACGTGAAATTACATACGAAACATTCAGTATGCGTCTAATAACACAATTTGGTTACGATTCAATGTAAAATATGTGAATATGATCGACAAATGACTATTACGTAATGTTTCTTATATAATCGAATATTGAATAGCAATTGTAAAGTTTATTTTGCTTTATTTAATTTATACAAGCAACCAAACCAAAAAGATTGTTAATAAATTTATAATATATACCTTTTAATTAAAAAGAATGTCAACTATTGACATATTATCGAAACTACATAAGATTCAAACAAAATGCAAATCACGCAAAAAATAAGCAAAGCTTTAATACATGACAAAATAAAAAAATATGCGACAAATAAAATAATCTCATTAATTCTAGTATACACAATTTTTATGCCGTTTCAACGTAAGTCTCGTATAATTATTATTTCTCTACATGATAATACATATCAAAAAATATTTGTAATTATTGCATCTTTAATAATATAAATCAAGCAATATATTTAATCGCGTGTGTAAATTCTAATTCCCGTTTTACTTTATCAAAAATCGCGTTATTACTGTGTTTAAAAAATAATCGACAACAATTCGATCAAATCAAGTCGAGTAGCTCGTTGAGTAGTATCCAACACAGAAGAATGATCTATATATGCTGGAGAACGAGCTGTGCTCTATTTCTGTCGAGTTTCACGAGATTAAACCGCAAAAGGAAGTTAAGCGATCCGTTATCAAGGACTCCACCGCAGGAAGAAACAAATCCCAAATTTCCGAACTGCTCTCGATAGCAGCTGTTTCGGTAGCGAACAACTGTCACCTTTTTTCAAACCTTTCCATAATGTAGATATAATACAATTTCCAAATATTTGGATGATAATAATTTAACCAATATTCATCAGTTCTTTAGTACAACAGATCAAAATTCGTGCGAGAAAATATTCTTCCATTATTAAATATTATACATCTTTTTATTACCAAAAAACATGGATAGAACGATTCCTATCGAAAAGTGGTTACAAATGATTACATTTCAAAATAATAAAATACATACATTTTTATTATTATTTATTAAATGTGCGAGCACAAAAATTCTCAGGTACCGACTGTTCGAGGCGAATCGAACCGATAACAATAAGACGTCAATTAATTTCATAATCAAATATTTAGTGAAATAAGATTCACATCGTTTTTATTTTTTCTATAACATTTCAGCAAATGTTCAATTCAAATAATTAAATAGACTTATCTAAATATTAAATGAAACATTTAGAGAATTAAAAATTATCAAAGTTTTACTGATATCGGGGTACCCAATCGAATCGTCTCGAATTTATTAAGTATCCACACATTTTTAATTATGTTCATTGTATCATTATAATAATCTATTCGAATAAGTATAAATCTTTTTGAAAAAATTTATCAAGTAAATAAGAACTAAAAATTCCTTGCATAATGTATACACAAAATGTACATTGCGTATGTATTTTATTATATAAAGCAACCTAAAATATTTAAAAATTAATTAATGTTCTGAAATATGTAAAAATTAATTAATATTCTGGAATAGAGGGATGTCCAGTGCCTGAAAAAATTTTTTTAAAAAGCTAAAAATTAAAATAAAAGAAATATATTCATTCATAACCATACTTTTTTCTCAAAAAAAATCGCAAGAAGCGACCAAACTTGTGATTTTAATTTATTAAATGTAATCCATTCTTTTCTATAACAATTGCTATCCATGTTCGATATCTGCTAAGTCTTTTTATTGTCAAAGCAGTATTAATATTAATTAATGGAAGAATATTTAAAGAAAACAATAAACTCTTCTCTTAAAAGGACAAATTATTTAATTGATTTCGCGATTGAATTTAAAAAATATTAATTAAACTACATTATTGCTGTTCTCAACTTGCCAAAATTACAGCTCGCGGAGGTAAAAAAAACCAAGATTAATTTCAGCCCTATAACGGAAACCTTCAGAATCATCGGGGCACCGAACTAGAAGTTTCGGATGGATTCCACAGAAAATGACGAAAAATGTCTTTCAATGTTAAAAATCACTACGATTTTTCGTCGGCACGAAATTTACTAATGTCCATTTGATGCAAGGGACAACAACGAAGCTCCACTAGCGGGACAGTGATCGCATTTATAAACGTGAAAATAATGCGATATTTTCATAATTTTTAAATAATTTAACATATTTCATATAGAACAAAATTTAAGAATTCGTTTAATAAATATTTGATATACTTTTTGAATACGTTTTATCATAAGAGCGAGATAAGATATAAAATAAATTTCGCAGACAAATATTGTATATACGTATCATAATCATAATCTTCACAACTGTAATTATGTCTTATAATAAACATACTACAAAAACTATAACCATTAATACAAAATTTTGAATAAAGTATGTACCGAATTTATTAACAATCTTTTCGTATAGAAAAATTTTTTTAAAAACTTCTCAAAACAAATGTTTATTAAATACATCGATCTCCGTCTTATTGAACACATATTACCGATTACAATAATCAACATTATTTACAATTATTATCCATCAATGCCATAAATTACAATTACAATACATAGTAATTACAATAC